AGCTGAGTCTGCGCCATCCCCATCTCAACCCGGGCCACTCTCCTGAATATTTTCCGGGTTCTGCCCGGAAGGCAAACGAACGTCTTTCCTATTGGAAAAGCCACAGGACTTAATGTGACTTTAATTTATACAGCTTTTTGTGCCTTATACAAGGTATCATGGTCCGTTTAGATCTCGTCTCGTTCCAAGAGCGTGCGGTTGGGGCTGTCTTAGCGCCTCGGGAAGATTCTTGCTATTTTGCTATTTATTGTACTGGCTTAAAATGGGGGAGGGCGGGCAGGTGCGCCCCTGTCGGAGTGGGCGGGAGAGCGCAGCGGCCGCGGCGGTCCCCTCCGGTCCCCGAGCAGCTGCGGCCCCGCCGCGTCCCCTCGGCCGCCTGTCTGCCTGCACTAGGACGTCAGCAGGCGAGGCCCCAAGAGAAGACCCCGGGGACTCCAGTGAGAGCTCGGCATCCCGCCCCGGAGCCCCCAGAAGTCGGGTTCCGCGTGGGGTCGGTCGGCCCCGTGGAGCGCATCCGACCCCTGCTCCCACTCCTGGGAGGATGAGTGTCCGTGTGGAAATCCCGCCGCCCGGCGGCCAGCGCTCACCCGGAGCAGGAGAGGCCTCCGCTCGGCTGCAGGAGACCTGGGCTGTCCGCGAGCCCGCGCCATCCGGGGAAGTCCCCCGTAGACACTGCCCACGGCCACTTCGCCGTCGCGGGGAATGCGGGGTCTGAGACTCGAGCCTCCGCCTCCGCGTCGGGAAAGGCAGGTCGCAAAGCGCGGCCCAGCAGGCTCCCGTCCGGGGACCGGCGGGACGAGGAGCGTCCCGGTGGCCGCGGGTGACCTCCTGGAAGACAGGGAGGGCGTCACGGGTCTTGGGGACTTTGACACAACCTGGAGCAGGAGGCTGAGAAAACCCGCCACTTGCGCAGGCCGAGTCACCGGTCCCGTGAGCAAGAGACCTAAGCCCTTTTCTTCGTGAATCTGACTCTATACCTCATTGCTTGATGTCCTGCAAGGTGGTTTTCCAAAGTGCATGCTTTTACATTCCTACCACCAGCCGCGATTCCGTCTACCCTCACTGAGCGTTGAGTACTAGCATAGGAGGAGGTTCACAGGTGGGAGACCTCCTGCTGGAGGCTGCTGAGGGATTATTGCTATTTTCTACCGGGCAAGCCTTTCACACCACAGTTGCCTTTAAGTTATTGTCACCATGTGTCATCTCCCCACCCCCACCCCCAGCATTGTGATAAGATTTTGTCCCTCTGCTGTGTCCCCTGACTTACTCCTTCTTCTCCTGGTGGTTTAGGAAGATAAATGTTTGCAGCGTCAGAATGTAGGCGTCTGTTAGGGTGTGAAGTCCGTAGGCAAGTGAGAAAGAATTCTCAGAGTTTAGGATAGAAAGAAACGAGAAGTTTATTTACTCTCCCCGGAGAAAGAGAGGGCACAGCGCCAGAAAATAAAAGAGTCGCGGGCCCTGAGGCCAAAGGACTCTGACTCTTCGTTAGGTCAGACTGAGGAGGGGAGGGGGGATTTACAACTGTAGCCCAAATAGCAGAAAACACCTGAGAAACTGCTGTTGGCGGCTTCTGTTTCTCACGTAGCAGCCTGATAACAGAAACTAGTTTCTTCTTTCCATTAGATAGCGCGTACTGTCTCTTCTTGAGAAAGCATGGGGAGTTTGCACTCCTACTGTCCGTTCAGAAACTTTTTCAAGGCCGCTTTAACAACACTCAAAAACCTTTTTACAGGCAGTGAATTTTTTATGACAGTCCATTAGACAGTCTATTCTTTCCTCCACTCTCCCTGAAACTCTTTTCCCTTTTGGAATGTAAATTAGCCAGCTCTGGCGAATGATAATGAGGATTTGCACCTTTTTTGTTTGCTCAGCTTCCTTTAATTGTTAAACATCTCTGTAGGAGAGATATTCATGTTACTAACCTTAGAGGCAGGGTTTATGCTACTCTAAGTGGCTGCCAGTTAGAAATTTATTTTCCTGTTAGCTGTTAGCCAGACCATTCTTTCAGCTTCCGTGTTATGTCTTGGCTTTGCTTTGTGTTGTTTTCAAAACTGTAATTGTTCCAAATTCTGTTGGTCTCAAGCATAGCAGGGAATTGTCGAAAGCAAAGAACCAAAAAAGAAAAAATATCATTTTGTGTAATTTGTTTGAAATAGTTTGCAATAATTATAGTGTTTCGCTTTAATAATGGGCAGTTTTTTGGTTTGGATTTTAGAAAAACGAATTATCACTATAAAACTTTGTTCTTAAACATGTTATTAGATGTAATTCAATATGCGTTTACAATATGTGCATCTATTTTTGCTCATTACATAATTGAGTTTTTTTGAGAAGTAGTTTGTAACACCACAAAGAAACATGGCAAACAAAGATCTCTGTTGTCATTTGATTAAATATTTTCCACAAGCAGCTGCCTCAGTCCATTGGGAAGAATCTTTGGTCTAGCCCCTTGTTTTTTAGGGTGTTCAGAAGAGAGAGGAACACAAGAAGTGGCAAGTTAAAGTTTGCATGGATTGTGTAAGACAACATAAATAAGAACTGCAAGGCCTCCGCGTGACCGCCGCCGCGCTATGGCGGCGAAGGCGCCGTGCGTCCTGCTGTTTGCCCTGCTGGCGGCGCGCGGGCCAGGCCCGCCGAGACGACCGCGGAGGAGCCCGGCGCGTCCGGGAGAGCGGCCTCGCCAGGTGGCTCGGGCCCGGGGCGGCTCGGGGCCACTTCCCCCAGATCCCGGCGCTTCCCGTAGGGCGAACGACCTGTTCTTGCCCCAGACCCGTGGTCTCCAGCCCAAGAGGGCGCTTCCACCCGTGTCTGGCCCCGTGCGCCTCTTGTGACTTGCTGGTACAAGTATGAGTTCTGCCCGTCCCACAACGTGACCTGTGCGCCCGGAGCGCCCCTCCGCCGCAACACGTACAGCGGGACTGCAGGCATCTAGCAGGCACCTTCGCGGGCACGTGGATGCGGGACGGCGACTCCTGCCGCTCCGGGAGCTGGCAGACAAGGGGAAGCCTACCTGTGGAATAGGCACCCGACTGGCCCACGTGTCTGAGCCGAGCGCTTGCTCGAGACCCGCCTCGTCTGCCACCGCCACTCTTTGTTAGTGTCCCCGGCCCTGCCAGGCACTGCAGCGGCAGTGGGACCAGCTGGAGCCAGACCTGGCGGATAAGCTGATCACCCCCCAGGGTTATCAGAAGTTGCTGAGCGCACTTTTTGAGGACGTGGCTATTTAAAGACCCCAGGAGAATATGAACCCACACAGCAGGAAGGCGGTCCTAAGGGGCCTGGGGTTTGAGACCCTGGAAAACAGCACAAAGGCACGAAAAGAACTGTCAAAAGGAGATAAAAAGAATTTAAAGTTTGCCCACCCAGCATGGCATCCCCTACACAAAGAGCACAGAAACCTCCAGCTGTGAGCACAGGCAGACAAGGACTATATGGGGACTTCTGGAGACCCCGAACCTCAGGGAACCTGGGCGGGTGGCAGAGGACAGGGGCAAGTACACCACAGCAAAGAAGGCACGGTTCCTCTTGGACCAGGCGGGAACACTCCCAGGGACCAGCTGGCCAGTCTTAGTTTGTGCCTAGAGATGCAGACAAGATAAAGATTCAAAGGTTTTTTTTTTTTTTTTTTTTTTTTTTGAGACAGAGTCTCACTTTGTTGCCCAGGCTAGAGTGAGTGCCGTGGCGTCAGCCTGGCTCACAGCAACCTCAAACTCCTGGGCTCAAGCGATCCTCCTGCCTCAGCCTCCCGAGTAGCTGGGACTACAGGCATGCGCCACCATGCCCGGCTAATTTTTGTATATATATTTTTAGTTGATCAATTAATTTATTTCTATTTTTGGTAGAGACAGGGTCTCACTCAGGCTGGTTTCGAACTCCTGACCTTGAGCAATCCGCCCGCCTCGGCCTCCCAAAGTGCTAGGATTACAGGCGTGAGCCACCACGCCCAGCCAAGATTCAAAGTTTTAATTAAAGAAAGAAAAAAAAAAGAATTGCAGCTGGGGAGAGGTTAGCTCAGGTGCTGAGCCTGACAGCCACCAGCGTGTGTAGTGGCAAAAGGCACCGCAGATCTAGTTACTGACCGCCTACTGAGCGCCTACAGAGCACTTTGCAAATTGGCTTTAGGTATGTCCCTCAATCAGGCGACAGGGACGATGCAGATGGCTACTGGTGAGAGGACAGTTGAAATTTGATCTTTTCCTTTTGGAGGGAAAAAGGGCCCCTCTAGTCTGTTTTCCTGTACTTCGTAAGTTGGACTTCTAAAACATTCTTTAGTCTTTCCCATGTTGATATCCTTTAGGCTTACTCTCCCATCGTTGCTAGTTATTTCTGAAAATGTCAGCTTCCTTATCTATGCTGTGACAGCTCCAGCAGCCTCTGTATCCCTGCACCTCTGCCTACAAGCCCACGTCTTGTCCCACAGAGGCCCCAGGTTCTCCTTTACTGACAGCTTTCACAGATGGCAGACAAAAAACCCTTCCCACTTTGGCTCCGACTCACATTTCACTTTCCTAGCCCCTTGTCAACCCTCCCTACTCGTCAGTGTATGAGCTGTGCTCGCATTGAAAGTAACACTGAAAATCCCTGTTGTGTCTCTAAAGCTGCTGCCTTTAATTGACAAGGATGCAAGCACTATCCCATTGTTGTGTAATATTTCTCTCTAGGTGGGTCCTGAGTTCTCTCTTTCTGCAGAGTGGCCAAATCCCTAGCCCTGACTTAATGAAGGTCCGAGGAATTTGGTCATGGATGTTCACAGTGTGTCTTTCACGTGATACTTTTTTATATCCTGGTAGATGGCCCAATGCCTAAGTGTCTGACCTGTGACCAAATGTCCCTCTAACAGGAAACTTGTGTATACTGGTAGACACCCTTATGGCTCTTGTCTGAGCTATGTCCAGTTTATTCCTGCCAAGATAGCCACTCTGTCAGAGAGCCTTGGCCAGGAGAAAAGTTAGGTTCAAGTGTGCCAGTCGGTGAGACACAGAGGATGCAACAACAAAACCCACGAGAAAACAGAAGCAGTTTATTATTCACAGCATGAGAGAAGAGAGGTTCCACTGAGGGCTAGTGGGAAGGTCACAGGGCCAATATGCTCAGCCAGCAGGTGGAGAGCTGGAGGGACATGAACCTATGAACCCAGGCCTTTGCTGGGGTTCAGGGTGCTACCCAAGCAGGTTTCCTTCAGAGAGTTCTAGTTGGTGGGCCAAGGCATGAGTTGGTGGAGTCATGCTGTGCCTGAGAAGTGATCACTGTGGCACATCTGTGCAGTCTATGAGGGGTGTGGGGGTCAGTGGGGTGGGTCAGTCTGTTGTATCTAGCTGCCCCATAGGGAGGTGGTCACCAGGAAGCAGTTGCATAAGGCAGATATGTGGATCGACCGCACTGAGAAACTGGGGGTAGGTAGAAAGCTGGAAACTGTCAAGCGTGACTAAGTCCTGCTTCTGGAATGAGAAAGTTAAACCTGTATTCAAAACAGATGCCGAGGCAACATAACATTATTAGGAATTCACTGTACCCATAGTTAGAACTTAACATATTTTTTAGTTCATTTTTTTTAACTGACATAAATAAAATCTACTCCTTTTAGCATATAGTTCCATGCATTTAACAAATGCTCACAGTCATGTAACCACCACTGCAGTCAATCTTATCACCAGATAAGATTGATAAGATACAGACAATCTTATCACCCTCAATAATTCTCATGTGCTGCCCCATTTTTCATTAACCTCTCCCTACATCTTAGCACCTGGAAACCACAGATCTATTTTCTGTTTCTATAATTTTGCTTTTTCCAAAATGTCATATAAAAGGAATTTTTTTTACATAGGCTCCTTTCACTTGGATTAATGCTTTTGAATTTCACCGACATTGCATGTATTAATATAAGTAGTTCTTTCTTTTTAATTGCGGAGGTGTATTTCTTTGTATGGATATACTATATTTTATTTATCCATTTATCTACTGAATGGCATTTCAGTTATTTCTAGTTTGTGGTAGTTATGAATAAAGCTGCTATAAGTATTTGCTTATAATTTTTTGTGCAAACATGAATTTTCATTTTTCTTGAATAAATATCTAAGTGGGATTGCAGGGTCATATGATAAGTATCTGTTCAACTTTTTAAAACTGCCACACTTTGACAAAGTGGCTGTGCCAGTTCTACCAGTAATATATTTTATTTTATTTATCTTGCATTTTTTAAAAAAAGAACAGTTTTATTTAGATATAATTCACCTACCATAAAATGTATCCACTTAAAGTAGCAATTCAATGGTTTTGAAGTATATTCACAGAGTTGTGTAACCATCACCACAATCAATTTTAAAACATTTTCATCACCCAAAAAAGAAACACTGTATCCATTAGTAGTCACCACTTATTTCTCCCCATCTCCTCCAGCCCTAGGCAATCATGAATCTGCTTTCTATTTCTATATATTTCTATACTGGACAATTCATATTAGTGGAATCATATAATAATATGCAGTCTTTTGTGACTGACTTCTTCACATAATTTCAAGGTTCATTCATGTGGCAGTATGTATTAGTATAATACTTTATTCCTTTTTATTGCCAAACAATATTCCATTTTTGGATATACCACATTTTATTTATCCATTCATTCATGATGGGCATCTGGGTTGGGTTGTTTTCACTTTTTGGCGATTATGAATAATGTTATGCACATTTGTGTACAAGTTTTTACATGGACACATATTTCTTACTATTAAGTATATATCTAGAAATAAAATGGCTAGATCATATGGTGACTCTATACCTAATTGTTTTATGTACTGCAAGGTTGTTTTTCAAAGTGACTGCACCATTTCACATCCCCACCAGTAACATAAGAGGGTTCTAATTTTTCTATATCCTCACAATACTTGTTATTTTCTTTTTTTTATTATAGTCATCCCAGTGGGTATGAAGTGGTATCTCATTGTAGTTTTAATTTTCATTTCCCTAATTAATAATGACTAGCAATATTTTTATGTGTTTATTTGCCTCCCATATATCTTCTGTTCCTGTTTTTTGGCTTTTTTTGTTTTAATTCAGCTGTTTGTTTTCTTATTGAGGTTGGGGTTTTGTTTGGGTTTTTTGTTTGTCTGTTTGTTTTTGTTAGAGATGGAGGGGTCTTACTATGTTGCTCAGGTTACTCTTGAGCTCCTGGCCTCAAGCAATCCTGCTTCAGCCTCTCAAGTAGCTGGGATTAAAGCCACTGTGCCTGGCTGTTACTGAATTTTGAGAGAACTTTATATATTTTGGATACTGTCAAGGCTGATAGATTTGGCCTGTGAAGAAACAGCAAGCCCTTTTTAGATTCAGGTAGTTTTATTATTTAATTTGATAGGGAAAGCAAGAGTAGCCAAAGGTGCCAGGTCCCAATGTTCTTTATGTCCCACAGGACAACACTGAAACAAAGGGGACTATATGAAATCGCAATATACTGGAACTGCTTGTTGCTGAGCAGTGGGTGCCATGATGCAACTATGTAATTTTATAGCCTACAGCTGTATCCTGAAAAGGAGGGTTAGGCAGAAAGACTTATACCTAAGTAGAACCTGGGAAGAAATGAGAAACTGTCTCATGACAGCCTCCCAGGAAAGATAGACAAATTGAAAATGGCCTTGTGGTAGCTCCTCACAAGCCTTCCATGCTGTTGTGCTCTGGGAGGGCCACAAGGCTTTCTTCCAAAACTTAGATCAGCTGCAGTTTAAGCCCTGCCTTTGTAGCCTATGTGGATACATTGCAAAGCCATCAGAGTGGGTCCCCCTACACATACAAGACCTTTGTTAGACAAGTATTTTGCAATTATGTTTCCCCAGTCTGAGGCTTGTCTCTTAATTCTCTTATTAGTGTTGTTTTTTAAAAGAGCAAGTTTTTAATTTTGGTGACTTCTAATCTATGAATTGTTTCTTTTATGGATTGTGCTTTTTGTGTAGTTTCCAAGAAACCTTTGCCTACCCCAAGATCACAAGGATTTTCTCATATGTTTTGTTCTTTTATTATTATTATTATTTTAGTGTATTATAGGAGTTCAAGTGTTAAGGATATGTTTTGTTCTGAAGTTTGATAGTATATATGTAGGTCTGTGATTCAGGTTAATTTTTGTATAAGGTGCTAGGTAGGGGTTGTTTTGTATTATTTTGCTATGCATGTCCAATGGCTCCAGGACTATTTGTTGAAGAAACTTCTTTCTCTATTGAACCACGTTTGTATCTTTGTGATATACATGTGGATCTATTTCTAGATTCTCTATTCTGATTTACTGATCTATGGGTCTATCTGATTTTCACTAAAATCACACACTCTTGATTACTATAGATTTATAGGAAGACTTGAAATCAGGTAGTAGGAGCCTCCTCCAACTTTACTGTTGATATATTAGGTTGTGGAGAATTGACCTCCTAACAATGTTGAGTTTTTCAATCTATAAACATGTTACATATCACCATTTATTTAGGTTTGCTTTGATTTTGTTTCTTCAGTGTTTTTTTTTTTTTTTCAGCATACAGAACTAGCACATACATTGTTATACACATGCATAAGAATTTCATGTTTTGGTGTCATTGCAAATATTTTTATTGAAAAGTTTTGATTTTCATATATTCATTGCTTATATAACAGAAATTCAACTGATTTTTGTATTGGGACCTTGCATTCTATAGCCTTGCTAAACTTAAATATTAGTTCTAGATTTAAAATTTTTTCTTGCAATTTTCTACATAGACAATCATATCTGAAAATTAAGACAATTTTATTTCTTTCTTCATTTTAATTTTTATCATTTTATTTCTTTTCTTGCTTTATGGTATTGGCTAAGACTTCCAGTACAATGTTTAATATAGATGATGAGAGTGTCCATCCCTACCTGTTTACTGGCCTTTTGGAAAAGAATTTAGTCTTTTACCATCAAATATGCGGTTAGCTATAGCTTTTCTATAGATGCCCTTTATCAGTTTATGGATGCTCCCTTTTGGTTACAATAGGATATTGGGATTTTTTTCAAATGTTCTTTTCTGTATCTGTTGAGATGATTATGTACTTTCTCTTCTTTAGTCTATTAACATGGTGAATTATATAAATGCATTTTCAAATATTGATCCAGCTTTACATTCCTAGATTAAATCTCAGTTGATTATTATGTAAAAAAATTTTTTATATACTCCTGGATTTGATTTGGTAATATTTCATTTAGGATTTTTGCAGCTACATTCGTTAGACATATTAATTTTCTTTACTTGTAATTTCTTTTTCTGGTTTTGGTATTAGGGTAATACTGATCTCATAAAATGAGTTATGCAGAGTTCTTTTCCCTTCTATTTTTTTGGAAGAGTTTATGTAGAATTGGCGTTATTTCTTTTTTTAAAGGTTTTATAGAATTTGCCAGTGAAGCCAATTAGGTGAAGGATTTAAACTATAAATTTAATTTTCTTAACAGATACAGTACTATTCAGGTTATCTAGTTTTTCCTTGAATAAAGTTTGGTAGGTTCTGCCTTTTAAGGAATTTGTCTAATTCATCTATGTTGTCTAATTTATAGGCATTATAATTATTTGTAATATTCTTACAATATCCTTTTAGTTCCTCGGGATCTGTAGTGACCCTGATATTGGTAATTTATGTTTTCTCTTTTCTTTGTCACTATGGCTAGAGGCTGATTGATATTTTAAAATAATTGGCTTTAATTTTTATTTATTTTTCTCTATTATATTTATATTTTCAATTTTGTTGATTTCTCCTCTTTATTATTCATTTCCTTCTGCTTGTTTTATATTTAATTTGATCTCTTTTTTCATATTTATTAAGGTAGTTTATCATTAATTTTGAAACCTTTCATCTTTTCTAATGAAGCATTTAATGCTATAAATTTCTCTCCAAATACTGCTTTAGCTGCATCCCACAAACTTTGAAATTTTTTTTCCATTTTCATTTAGCTCAAAATATTTGCCAAATTGACATCTAATTCTGCTTTGACTCAGAGGTTATTTAGAAGTATGTTGTTGAAATCTCAAACATAATGTAATTTCTAAGACATCTGTTATTATTTTTAGTTTAATTCTTCTATGCACAAAGAAAATATTTTACTTGGTTTTTATTTTTAAAAATTTGTTAAGGTGTGTTTTATGGCAGTGTTCGATATGTACTTGAAAAGCATGTGTATTCTGTCGTTTGTTGGGATGTTCTATAGATAGCACATATATATAATGGTATACAATATATATGATATAATGACATATAACTTGAACTATAGGTCAAGTTGATAGCATTGTTGGAGTCATATTTCTTAACTGAATTTCTGGAGCTCGGATTCCAATCTCTGAGTTGGAAAATGATCTCTAAGATTGAATACAGAATCCAGTGAAAAGAAATCTGGTTTTGTTTCTTATAAAGTCTATATGTAAATAATGCCTTGAAGCTTACAGTCTGCACATTCCAGATTATTTACCGGCTTCGGACTTTAAGGTCGTAGGACCCAGAGACAATATACGTTGTGTTAGTCTATAATGGTTTCATGCAAGAGCCAGTTGTTTTCTGAATTAGATTTTAAGATCCCTGAGTATTTCCTGAATGGTACACTGCATAGAAATAATTTTGACTACCTGAGTCTTCAACAGTGCTGTACACACGGTAGGGACTAAAATGCATATCTTTGTAATTGCTTAAATGCAGAGGAAGTTTTCTGGACTATTATACTGGCTAGGCAGAAACAAAGGGATTCGGGTGCTTATACCAACCGTTTATGTTGTGTCTTTGGCGCTGTGCAGGTCTTGTCGACATTCTGCTGGGGGCGGCATTCCCTTGGTTTCCCCCCAAACCACAATCCCTCCAGTTTCCAGGTCTGCAGGGCCAGTTTGCCAGGCAGCTCCCAGGGGTGAACTGGTGATAAAAAGCAGTTGTACAAGGCTGAGAGACACGCTTGAGCGACGCCCACAGCTTCATCACATTCCACGAATCACAGTTCAAGAGGAGCAGAACAAATTTCAGACCACAAAGGTGGTTAATGGCCCCCTCAGAGCCTAGATGTCCTGCCTCCCAGCCTGTGTCCCTCTGGGGACACGCACACCCCCATGCAAGGGGATGGCCCTCCTGGGTATCTTGGAGACTGAAGGGGCTTCAAGATCCTAAGTGATGATTTTTTCCAGAGACATAATTTACATATTAAAGCTGGGTAGTGGAGAATATTTCTTGACGTAGGGTAGGTGGTGAACAGGCTTTCCTTATATTTACTTATCCGTCAAATCTCCTTATACCAGAGTACACTCACCTCTTTAGAGGAGCACTTTTAAAAATAAACCAATGGGTCAAGAAGTCACAGTGGAATTAGAAAATATTTGGGGACAAATGAAAAATGAAAACACAACATACTAAAATGTATGGCATGCTGTTCTCAGAGGGAAATGTATGACTATAAAGGACTACATTAAAAAAAGAGACAGATGTCAAATTCAGTAACTTAGACTTTAAGGAACTAGAAAAAACAAAGCAAAGTAAACCCAAAGCTAGCAGAAGAAAAGACATCATAAAGAGTTATAAAGAGTGGAGACAAATGACATAGAGAATGGAAAAATAATAGAAAATTAACAAAAACAAAACTTGGATCTTAGAAAAGATCAAGAGAATTGACAAACTTTTAGTTAGACTGACTGAAAAATAGGGAACGGTGGGAAGAGAGAAGATGCAAATAACTAAAACAGAAATAAAAGTAAGGACCTTACTTTTAATTTACAGAAATAAAATGTTTTGTTAAGAGAATTCTATGGACAATTGTATACCAACAAATTAGACAACCTAGATAAAATGGACAAATTTTTAGACCACAAAAATTGTCAAAACTAACTCAAGAAGACATAGAAAATATCTGAGCAGACCTATAACAAGTAAAGAGATTGAATGAATAACCAAAAATCTCCCAAGTACCTGCCAGAGACGGGGTGGGGCAGGGAGGGAGGATTGGGGAGTTACTTCTTAATGGGTGCAGAGTTTTCAATTTGTAAAAATGAAAAAGTTCTGAAGATGGCTGGTGGTAACGTTTGCAGAACAATGTCAACATACTTAATGCCACTAAAGTGTACACATAAAAATGATTAAGAGGATAACTTTTATGTTGTGTATATTTTACCATCACCAACAACAAAAAATACATTTCTCAATTTAAAAATTAAAAAAAAAATCCAACAAAGAAAAGTTAAGAACCAGATGGTTTCATTGGTGAGTTTTACCAAACTTTACAGAATAATTAAGACTAATTCTTCTCAAACGCTTCCAAAAAGTATAAGAAGAGGGAACATTTCCTAACTCATTTTATGGGGCCAGCAGTTCTAATAACAAAGCAGACAAAGACATTAGAAGAAAAGAAAATTAATAACAATGTCATTTATAGATGTCAAAAATCCTCAGCAAAATGCTAGCAAACTGGGTGGGCACAGTGGTTCACACCTGTAATCCTAGCACTCTGGGAGGCCAAGGTGGAAGGATGGCTCAAGGTCAGGAGTTTGAGACCAGCCTGAGCAAGAGTGAGACCCTGTCTCTACTAAAAATAGAAACAAATTAGCTGGACAACTAAAACTATATAGAAAAAAATTAGCCGGACATGGTGGCACATGCCTGTAGTCCCAGCTACTTGGGAGGCTGAGGCAGGAGGATTGCCTGAGCCCTGGAGTTTGAGGTTGCTGAGAGCTAGGCTGATGTCACAGCATTTTAGCCCAGGCAACACAGCGAGACTCTGTCTCAAATAAATAAATAAATGCTAGCAAACTGAATCCATGAATAACAGCACAGTGAAAGGATTAAATGCCAGTGTACTCCATGACTATGGTGGACAAAATGTTTGTGTCCTCCCAAAATTCATGTGTTGAAATCATAACTCTCAGTGGTGCAGGACTGGATGCTTTTCCCCTGAGATCAGGACCGTGACAAGAATGGCTGCTATTCAACATTTTATTGGGAATTCTAGACTGAGAATTAGAGAAGAGAAAGAAAGGGCATCCAAATTGGAAAAGAAGAAGTAAAGCTCTCTAGACTTGAATGACATGATCTCATATATAGAAAATCCAAAAGAATCTGCAAAAATAAACTACTTGAATGAATAAACAAATTCATCCAGAGTTTCAAGATACAAGTTCAAGATCAACTTTTTAACATGATAAAATACATCCATAAAAATATCTATAGTTAACATCATGCTTAAATAGCGAAAGACTGAACGCTTTCTCTTTAAGACTGACGACAATGAAAGGATGCTTGCTGCTGGGAAAGGCAGTCATGCACAGCTTCCTGCCCTTTGCACTGGAGCATTTCCTTGCAGAGAGATAAAGAGCCCTCGCAAACTGTTCTGGGCACATCTCTGTTTGGGAGTATCTTTTTCCATTCCAAGTTTGATGTGTACTTCTTCATCCTGCCAAAGTATATGCATCAAGTGGCACCTTGCTAACCCCACTGCCCTATCTGTTCCTGGAGGGGAGGGAATGGGGTCCTTTGCCTGCAGCACAAGAGGAGTGCGTGCAGACCAGCTCTCTGCACTGGCTGCGGGACAAGACACGCTGGCCTTGGGGGACTGACATGTACTTACTATTGAAGCTGATCTTATTCTCTGTCTTCTCTGTGTGAGTAAAGCATTGTTCCGTCCAGTGCCTTTCTGTGTGAGTCACATCTTTCTTGGCGACCCCAACACCCACAAACCATGCAGTGGGTTGATATCCTGGTACCGCTGCTCCTGGGGATAGACAACAGGTGTCAGGTGCTCAATATCTGCTCTCACCGCCCCTAGTCAGCAGCATGCTTGTGTTTTAGCCAGTGAAATGAGGCAAGAAAAAGAAGTAAAAGGCATACAAGATTGAAAAGGAAGAAATAATACTGTCTCTATAGCCTCAAACAACATGATTTTCTATGTAGAAAATCCCAGTGAATCTTAACAAAAAACGCTGTTAGAACTTAGTAGTTTAACAATGATAAAGGATCATTAACAAGATAAAGGATCAGCACTCTAATTATATGTTTCTATAGACAGCATATCAAGTTGAAACCAAAAATTTTAAAATAATGCCATTTATAATCTTCAAAAAAGAAATATGTAGGTATAAATCTAACAAAATATGTGCTGAATCTGTTTGCTGAAATTTCCAAAATGCTAATGAGGGAAGTCAGACAAGATCTAAGTAAATGAAGAGACAGAACATGTACACAGATTGGATAACACAATATATTGAAGATGTCAATTATTCCCAAGTTGAGCTGCAGATGCAAAGCAATTCCAGTCAAAATATTAGCAGGATTTTTGGTACACGCACACACACACACACACACACACACACACACACACACACAAGCTGATTTAAACATTTATGTGGAGACAAAGAAACTAGAATAGCCTAACCAATTTTAAAAAGAAGAGGAAGAAATTTGGCAGATTCACATGACTTGATTTTAAGGCATAAAAACATAGTAAACAAAACAGTATGGTGTTAATGAAGGGATATACAGATAGATCAATAGAACAGAATAGAAATTCCAGAGATAGACCCATCCAAATATGGCTAATTGAGTTTTTGCAGAGATACAACAACAATTCAATGGAAGAAGGAAAGTATTTTTCAACAAATGATGTTGGAACAATTGGATATCCACATGCAAAAAAGCGAACCTTCACCCAAACCTCTCACCTTATATAAAAACATATTCAAGGTGAATCATACATCTAAATGTAAAACATGAAACAATAAAACTTCTATGTGAAAAAAATACAAAAAATCATCATGACCAGGAATTAAGCAAAGAGTTCTTTAGACATGACACCACAAGTATGACCCACTGAAGAAAAAAATTGATGAATTGGACTTCATCAAATTTAAAAACTTTGCCCTGTGAATGACACTTTTAAGAGCATAAAAAAAACAAGCTAAAGCCTGGGAAGCTATATTTGAAAACACATATGCAACAAAAGACATCTATCTAGAACATATAGAAAATGCTCAAAACTGAATAGTAAGAAAACAAAACAACCCAATCTTAAAAATAGGCAACATGTTTGAAGAGACATTTCATCAATACGCTCATGGAAAGATACTTAACATCATTAGCCATTAGGGGCAACATAAAGGAGTTGTTTTGGGGTGATGGAACTCTTCTGGATCTAATGCGATGACATTTTTACAAATCTGTACACGTTATAACTCATAGAACTATAAACCTGCGAAAGGTCAATTTTGCTGTGTCTTAATTTAGAAATAGAAATTTAAAATTTAATAAAAAATAAGTAAACCTCCTATGTCTGACCACCAAAGTGGCATATATTTTGTTTGTTTAATGAAAGTTTAATTTCTCTGTGATGTCTCTTCAGATGTCAGTGTTTTATGTATATTAAAAAATGACAGGCGTTGGAAATATTGGCTTTACATAGTTTGGTACCTGTTGTTGTGTCTGTAACAAAGATCTGGTATTCACAGTGAGCATGGTGAATGGTGAACTTATCCTTTCACCCCCACTGGTAACAAATTTCCAAAAATAACCAATATATATTTTAAAAAGAGGGATTGTGGATTTGGACTAGTGTTGGTTTGCAGGTGAGATTAGAGTTGGGTTTGGGTAAAACTCAGCCATTTGTGTTCCTTAACTCTTTTTGGTGAGGGAAAACTGAAAACTTTTATCCTGCTGCCAAGAGGTGAGTAAACCATGTCATTAAAGAACAAAGATACTGTTCTGTGTTGCAACTTCATAGTCACTCAAGGGCCTTAAGCAAATCTATTCTCATCTTCCTAGTGATTTGAGCCTAGAAGCCATCCTAACGAAATAATCAAAATTATAGTCAAAACGTTTAGCATAGACACAACACAATATTTGTAATAGAAAAAATAATCTAAGTCAGATTGCATTTGACATAGAGAGGAAAAGGGATGATTTCAAACTGGCTTTAATAACCCAGAGCAATGTTTAGGTGAAAAACTATGAAATGAGAAAGCAGCATGTTTTATTTTATGTATGAATACAAAATGGCTCAAATACACCCAAATGTTCGTGAGAGACAGGGAGGGCCCATTCTATTCCAGTCACCGTTGAAGGGCTGACTCACTGGGATTGACAGGGCAAGTCCTTTGTGAGCATGGTGCTCACAGGCTAGCGGTGGAGTCAGTGACAAGTGATTTGAAAAAGCAGCGAGTGTTAAGAAGAAAGAATGGGCAATATTAGACAGATTGAGGAAGTCAGAGAGACAATGGCAGGAGGGGTGTCACTGAGCAGGTGAGGGGGCAGATCCTGAGCAGGTGGTGTTGGCAGAGAATGCTGAAATGGTCTACACATTAACATTTTGTCCACCAGAGCAGGATGGCTACACCAGGTTTGTTTCTGAGGGGTAGAATAGTGAGTTTTTTGTTTTATTCTTGAGACAGAGTCTCACTTTGTGGTCCAAGCTAGAGTGAGTGCCACCGTGGCATCAGCCTAGCTCACAGCAACCTCAAACTCCTGGGCTCAAGCAATCCTGCTGCCTCAGCCTCCTGAGTAGCTGGGACTACAGGCATGGGCCACCATGCCCGGCTAAATTTTTTCTATATATATTAGTTGGGCAATTAATTTCTTTCTATTTATAGTAGAGACAGGGTCTGGCTCTTGCTCAGGCTGGTTTCGAACTCCTGACCTTAAGCAATCCGCCCTCCTCAGCCTCCCAGAGTGCTAGGATTACAGGCATGAGCCACTGTGCCTGGCCCATTTTATTCTTTATAATTTTCTGTGCTGTTAAAACTTTCAGTTAAAAACATACACAGTGGGGCGAGGTGGCTCACGCCTGTAATCCTAGCACTCTGGGAGGCCGAGGCGGGCGGATTGCTCGAGGTCGGGAGTTTGAAACCAGCCTGAGTGAGACCTTATCTCTACTAAAAATAGAAAGAAATTAATTGACCAACTAAAAAAATATATATACAAAACATTAGCTGGGCGTGGTGGCGCATGCCTGTAGTCCCAGCTACTTGGAAGGCTGAGGCAGGAGGATCACTTGAACCCAGGAGTTGGAGGCTGAGGCAGCAGGATTGCTTGAGCCCAGGAGTTTGAGGTTGCTGTGAGCTAGGCTGACGCCATGGCACTCACTCTAGCCTGGGCAACAAAGTGAGACTCTGTCTCAAAAAAAAAAAAACAAAAACAAAACATGCCCAGAACACTTGAGATTAAACAAAAAAACGAAAATGCAAATAACAAAAAATAAACATATGCTACTTTTATTATCAGAAAAATAGAATGCTCAAGAAATAAGAAAGTAAAGTTCAGCTTTATAAACTTTTAGAGCACGTGGACTTGCTATCTGCCGCCACATGGTCCCGACTTGAATGTCGTTCTGCCGGTGGCCTCCAGAAGAATGGCGCTGCACTGCCCTCTGGTGGCCATGTGGCAAGTGAGCCTTCCAGCCAACATCACAAAAAGCAAAAAATGTGTTTTATCAGTGTTCTAAGTCAATTTTGATTTGGTTGGAGCCTATTGATGCCACGCAGAGGTCAGGTATTCTGTTTTATGGTGCTATGTCATCCTTTGTCATCATCACAGAACACAGTTCTCCACTCAACACTTAACTCTTAAGGGACCACGTAAAGACTAAGAGAACATTCTCACTACTTTCTTAAACAGAATGTAGTGACCACAAAAACCCTTCCTTTAGAGCTCCTCGTGGCCTTTTCAAACAATATCTCCTCAATGCCCAGACAAGTTCAACCCATCCCCAGGAACAGCCCAGTCTTAGTGGTAGCTAATCAGTTACACAAGCGAATTCGGCAGTGGTGTAGCATTTTCTTACTGGTACCCTCTGTATTGGTTTGCTCGGGTTGTCATGGCAAAGTACCACAAAGTGAGGGGACTAAACAACAGGAATTTATTGTCTTGCAGTTCTGGAGGCTAGAAGTCTGAAATCAAGGTGGCAGCAGGGTTTGTTCCTTCTGAGGGCTGTTAGGGCCTCTCACCCTGGCCTGCAGATGGCGTCTTCTCCCTGTGTCTCTTCACTGCGTCTTCCCTCTGTGCCTGGCTTCGTGTCCAGATTTCCTTTTTATACACACCACAGTCATATTGGATGAGGACCCACCTAACGGCCTCACTTTGACCTGACTATCTCAGTCAAGTCCCTATCTCCAAATAAGGCCACATTCTGAGGTACTGTGGATTGGGAATTGGGCGAATGGCGGGGGCACAATTCAACTCCTAGACCCCCTTGATGCGATATTTCAGTATAAGGACCCATCAGCCTCAGGCAGGTAGCTGGAAATCCCCACCCCTTCCTTTCTCCCTGTCTTCCTTTTCTTCTCCCTTGATGGTTTTCAACTTTGTTGTACATTAAAATCCTAGGAGTTTCTAAAACTTCTGAGCCTGAAGCCCACCCCAAATCCGAAGAAAATTTGCAGGGAAACCTAACCCAAGAAGGAGGGATCAAGAGGTGTAGACAGAAGACTATCATGAACAAGGACTTGGAGGTGTTGGACAACATGGATGAGCTGTCTTGGCGGGAGGGAGGGGGTCACACACGGACACAGGAGCAGCTGCTGCTGTGAGATATACTTCCAAGGAAGAGGTGCTGAGAGAAGAAGCTGATGAGGCAGGTGGGGCCAGGGCAAGGGGGGAACTTGGGCCTCATTGAAGGGGCCTGGGCTTCCGTGCCATTTCAGAAAGGGCGGCTGAGAGCTGCCATTACGCCTGAGCTCACTCCTGACCACTGTGACCTGGCCTCCTGGTGCGGCTGCCCTCTTGACAGCTGAATCACAACTCTGATTCCACTTTTGGAAACAAGAACAAGTGTGAGTGGACTGATACAAAAACGATGCTGTTGTCAATTCCAAAGCTGCCCTGGGTGGCAGTGAGTCAGGCTGGAGCGGAAGAGGCAGGACTGGAGCTGGGCTGGACCAGTGAAGTGGAGGGGGGGAGGTCAGGATCCAGACAACAGTCAGGAGGGCAAATAGGAAATGCACTGTGAGCAGCGGGGAGGGGAAGTGAACAGATAACACTAGGCCCAGCACTGAAGTGAAGCACATGGTTTGGCAACATTGAGTATATCCCGTGTTGGGTACAAGGGAAAAGACAGAGGTGACAATCTGTGCCAGGGAAGGTCCCTTACAGCTTCATCAGGGTCTGGTGAGGGAGAGCCAAGCCACTCAGCCACATATGCCCGTAACCTTGGGCAGGGGGGGACTGAGATTTCTGCTCCACCCACCATCATGGCAGGGACACATGGCCTGCTCCCTGTGAGCACAGCCAGGTTCTGGGGGGGCTTGTCTATAGCTCAGACTCCTCCTGGGAGGCCTCAGCTTCTCTCATACACCAATAGCATCTGTTTGATGTAAATCAACCGTGCTTGGGTTTGTCCTCTCTGCTACAACAGTATTGCAATGTGTCATATGAAAGATTCCTATTGTAATTTGATCATTTTATAGATTATCTAGGAAGTTTATCTGGAGGTTTCAGGTGCTGTAATGATGCATAATAAATCTTTGATGAAAAGGTCAAAAATTTTGCAATTTATTATAAGCATCTTTGAAGTACATGAATTATTAATGTATGCCTTATATAAGGTTTATGCACAATATTTATAAATATATCTACTATACAGAATGTGTACGTCAGTATGATTGGTTGTATCCACAGACAGGTTCTTCCAAAACAGAAAGTGCCTCATTTTATAGAGTTGGACATCATAATGGCAGTCAATTAAATGAAATTCTGTGTTTTCCTTTTTTATCGCTATAATAATTTTATCTTAAGGAAAAAACCTTTCAGAAGGTAAGCAAGAAAAATACCTTGGCCCAGGAGATTAAAACATATTCATCAAAACGAAAACATTGATGTAAATGACATAGAAAAGGTTCTGTCTTTCCTGTACTCCATTATGAGATCTTATTAGCAGCTGCTTTCACAATTAATTGATTCTGGAAAATTTGGCAAGCCTTACTCTTCTCTACCTCAAAAATTGGACAACTGCCCACTTTGCAAATACCAATATAGCAATATCCTTTAAAGTGGATACTCTCCGGTATTTTGTTATAGCAGCCTGAGCTAAGACAGTGTATGCTTTATTTAAATATATTGAAACTACAGAAAGAATCCTCTAACACAAATGCTTTGGGAAAAATGTCTATCAAATGAAAGATGTAGTTAAGTAACATATTATAGTGCTTGATTTCAAATACGTATATACCAAGTATTGATGGCTGTTTTGAGAATCATTTTATGACGTTCACAAAGTATGCCAGCATGTGAATGCCATAATCCAAGTGCTTGTGCTGTCTTTCATTTGCTCCCTCGAGGTGCACTTCCCTGATTTCCATCTAGCCCTCGACTCAGTTGGGGGCGGGTTCTGACCTATATGGACTGTTTTAAGGGTTCCCTTTGCCTTTTGGCTTCAGGTTAGGTTCAGCCAACAGGGGTGGGGGTTATCAGGGAAAGATCCATAGGATCAGGGAGGAGAATGGAGGCAGCTATTTATTCTCCCAATAGGTGTGCTCAGAACCTATACCAATGACGGAGTCCCTACCCAGTGCGGTGACCTCTTCTGTGCAGCTGTGCCAGCCCCCTGCATGACCTTTAGTCTTTATGCTTAGAGGTAATAACTGTTCTCAGGGAACTGCACCATCACTTGTTACCTTCCATATACTGCCCACACATTTTAAGTAGTTCTTTTTATTCAATTCTCCTCCAGTGATCCCATTTGAGTTTTCCATCTCTTTCCTGCCAGGACCTTGAATAATACAGTGTGTTTACTCTTTTCCTTTGTGTGAATTAAGTATGTGGCAAAAGGTGCTAAAATACAATCTCTGGTTATAAAAAGTGGGAGAAATTCTGTGCTACAATGCTGCTCTATTAATACATCTCTTTTTCCTTTTCTTTAAATACAAAGCAATGCTCTAATTTTCAGTTAGGTCTGAGTCTCTCCCGAGATCAGTTCACCCATAGCCGGTCAGGGTTTGGGGGGTTGTTCATACATTGTTACCCATATCCCTTTCTGTAGCAACCACCCCCTAGAATATGTGAGCTAGGCAGAGCGCAGATTTTCTTACTATTATTGGAAAATTGTTAAGTAAGTTTTGTCATGTATTTCTTTGCCCCTTCCCCTCAGCAGGCAGCTGGCCCTCTTATGTCATCCTCTTATTCTCTAAACACATTCTGTCACATTGAAATGCTACTCTGTAGCAGCTAGAGACATAAAAGTTTAGCCTTTCATAGTAAAATAAATTACATATAGGCTATAGACTGAATTGTGTTTTCCCAAAATTCATATGTTGAAGCCTTAACACTCAAACTCAATGGGACTGAATTTGGAGATACAGCTTTTAGGAGGTAATTAAGATTAATAAAGTCTTAAGGGTGGAGCCCTAATCTTATAGGATGGGTGGACTTATAAGAAGAGGAAGATCTCTCTCCCTCTCTCTCTCTTCTTACCCCTCCCCACTATCACCACCACATGAAGACACAATGAGAAGCTAGCTGTCTACAAGTCCGCAATGAGGAGAGGTACAACAACAATGGCAGCCAGTCTTTTTGTCTGCCCCTCTGTGATCAGTAGCAGCAATCCGTGATCAGAGACCAGATCTCACATATTTGGAGGACAGAGTCCTTTGTGCCCACTCTGGCTCCCACAGGTTGTATGCACATTATTCCCAAAACACATGCACAGCTGCCTGTCATGGCGCTGGGGTGGAGAATGGGTAGCTGCTACTGTACTAAGGGCTGAACTGATGGAAATTAACCACAGTTTACCCTCCAAGCCTTCTCCTGAAAGTTTCAAGCTTTTAATAGACTCCAGAATTCCAAAATCATTACATCAAACAGTTTCTGCCAGTACAATTGTTGTCTAGGTCGGGAGACAGATTCTGGTTCCTCCTACTTTGCCATCTTCCCAGAATCCTAATAAAAATTTTTAAAAAGTAATAAGTCTAAATACCCAAGGCATCTCTGTGCCTATGTATGGGTGCTAAAATTTTCTTCCTCCCTCCTAGGATATCTGGTTAGGACTGACATAATACAGATTAACAAGAGAAAAGCATACAAATATTAATAACTCTTTCACATATACATGATAATCCACACAAGAAAAATGAAGACCCAAAGAAGCAGTTAGAGCTGGATGCTTACAAACTGAATTGGACACAGAATAGTAAATTGTGAAACTATGACAAGACAAATGGGCTTAGATTAGGGCAGTTAATTATGGAGAAGTGACTAGGAATATAAAGGTTAGTTCAATAAGATTCTGTAACGATTTCTCTCAGCCTCCACTTTCCATCTCTAGTGATATGTCCTCTTGGTATAGTGAGGACACCTTTCATATGGGATTTTCATATCCTGCTTTCAGGAAGAAAAAGGAAGGCTAGTGTATCCTTCTTGTATCTACTGTTTTTTAAGTACCTTTAACTCAAAAGAATCAATGTGCTAGAATGGCATATTTTGAGGTGGCATGTTCTGAACTCCTTCACCTACTCAGGATCTGTACTTACAAATAGAACTCCTATAGTCTTGAGGATGCAACGTAACTGTCCAGATTAAATTTTTTAAAAAGGAATTTTTTTGGTCTCTGTTGGAGATTGATTGGGAGTGACCAGTGTAAAGCAGGTAGAAACCACTGGGTGTGACTTCCAGGAAGAAAGTTTTAAAGGTGCTAGTTCAGCTGATAGGTAAATCTATTACTCTTGCCTCTTTCTCTTTTCTGCTGCTAAGACAAAGATCTGATGACAGAGACTGGCAATCTTAAGGCCACTATGGATAGTGGAGCCAAAAGATGGAAGGAACTTAGTGGAGCTACCACTCCAGCCCTGGGATGCTTTTCCCCTTTTTTTTTCAACAGGGAGAATTAAACTTTTGTTTTTCTTCTTTTAAGTTTATATTTGCCCATACAGAGACTGTAAGCCCCAGGAAGACAAGAGTCCCTATCTTTTTGTTTACAAACTTGGCTGCTTTGGGGAATTATATGGGATGTTTTTGTAACAGGGGTAAAGGTCTGAAAAAGGGCACTGAATTGTTCCACAAGTTCTCTCTTTAAACTCCTCCCCACCCCCGTTTGGGAATTAAAATTTGCATTTCTTCCTGAGACCAGTGATCAAAAGGGCAGAAAAATGTTCTTTGATGTTTGTTTTCTATTATCTTAAACCACAGGAGATAGCTCAACAGAACTGTTGGGACAAGGGTCACAAGATCACAAGATAGTCGTCACTGGAGATAATAAGGCTTACAAAACCCAAGACTGAAACCAGAAACCACTGATTATAGTTAAGCAACAATAGCCCAAAGCTGCAACATGTGACACGGTTGGGTAGACCCCAGCCCAATCCTGATTCCCTGCCCTTTAAAAAGCCCTGTTTCTGCTTCAAGTCAGGACGATGGTCTTTGAGACACCCATCTCCCGCCCTCCCTCATTTGCTGGCAAACTAATAACTCTTTCCTTTTTGCTCAAACCACTTGTCCTCGTTCTTCGTTCTCATTGATTGGGTCTCGTGGACAAGTACTGACCTTTCGGTAACATTTTAAAAAGGACTAAGGTTTGGGCCTCACCTCTCGGGTGTCGATTTCACTGATTTAGGGTACGTCCTCGGCTTTCAGATCTGTAAAGGCTGCCCCTAGTGACGCTAACCTGCAACATTTTGAGAACCATTGTTTTAGCTCGCCCAGCGCTTGGCTGGTCTGCGGGCAACCGAGACCGCCTGGGGTAGGAGCCGCACCGCCCTTGCAGCCTTCCGCTGGGAAGCCGCCCCCGCCCGGCCTTTGCCCGCCGGCCTGGCCCCGCCCTCGGCCCCGTCCCGCCTTTCCTCCGCCCCGCCTTCACCCCACCGCCTGGCCTGGCCCCGCCCTCGGCCCCGTCCCGCCTTTCCTCCGCCCCGCCTTCACCCCACCCCCTCGCCTGGCCCCGCCCCCGGCCCCGTCCCGCCTTTCCTCCGCCCCGCCTTCACCCCACCCGAGGCCTGGCCTCGCCCTCGGCCCCGCCCACCTGTGCCCCGGATGACGCGAAATCGCGCTCAGCAGGGAGCCAGTGCCTCGGGAGTGCGGATGTGCGCCTGCGCAAAGCCGGGATCCGGCGGGCCGTTTGAATTTCTTCCTTGGAGTCTAGTCTCGCGATCACGGGCTTCCGGCGGAGAGTTGGTTGTTTGCAGCTTGCAATCCAGCTGTGAGTGGGCCGTGTACTCCTGGGCCGGCTTGAGGTTGGAGTCTGGGTGTTGGGGACCCATCCGGTCTTCGGAAGCAGCCTGAGGCGTTGCTTGGGGCGCTGGGGGCCGCGGGGCGGAGGAGGACAGGGCTTGACATTTTCCGCTCTGCTTTGCTGCGGTGGCCGCTTTAGACCCGCCCCTTCTCACGCTCAGTGAATGGCAACTGAGTTCTCTCCCCTCTGCCTCTTACCGACCCCAAACTGTACAGCCCCAGTCCTCCACGGCGTAGGAAAAATGGTCACCTGGCCCTTTTCTTTGAAATTATGGTGTTTGTTTGAAATGCGTGTGTATTCTGCTTTTTTAAAGAAAATACCAACGTTGTCTTTATATATAGTGCATTTGTCCTCCTAAATCCTTAAGGAAATGCCCTGGGTTTATCCCTGTACGCTGGTTTGGAATCCATTGACTGCCGCCGAAGGTTCCGAGATAAGTCAGAACTGTACTTTGTTTAGAAACTGAATTTTGTACAATTGAAAGAAATTGCTCTCGAGTTTTTGTACTTTTCCTTCAAGGAGATGTGATTTACTCAATATTTACCATTCTTGGGTTTTGAAAGTAAACAGAAATTTGTCTGGCTTTTTTTTTTTTAATGTATTTATATTTTCTTCTTCAGAGGCTGAAAGGATGGCCTCAGATCTGGAACAGTTATGCTCTCATGTTAATGAAAAGATTGGCAATATTAAGAAAACTCTGTCATTAAGAAACTGTGGTAAGTAAGAGAGATTCCCCTTACTTGGTATATGAAAATGCATTTTGAATATTGTTCCATTTTGAATGCTATCTTATGCCTGGTTAAGTGAATATATTAGAAAGGTAATTTTAGATTTTGAAGAGTGATTTTTTTTTTCTTGAAGAGTGATTTTTAAAACACTTGATGTCAGTATTTTGAATATTACAGAGGATACTAAAAATATAAGGTACACTGAATATTCATTGTATTTATTTACTTATGTTTTTCTGAGACACATAGGCCACTAATAAGATTTGAAGGTTATGTGGCATCCATGGTTCTAGAGCTAAATGGAAATGCAGTCATGTGTCACTTAATAACCTCTGAGCTAATCGCCTTGTTAGGCGATTTTGTTGTGGGAATATCACAGAGTGTACTTACACAGATCTAGAGAGTATATAATATAGCCTATTACACACCTAGGCTGTATGGTAGAGCTATTGCTCCTAGTCTACAAACCTGTATGGCATGTTACTATACTGAATAGTGTAGGCAACTGTAACACAATGGTAAGTATCTGCATATCTAAACATACCTGAACATAGAAAAGGCACAGTATTTTTTATTTTATTTTTTAATATGAAGGGGTCGAGGGTTGTGAAGAGGGGTGTTCAGTTGCCTTGTTTGTCTTTGTTGAGACAGAGTCTCACTGTGGCTCACTGCAACCTCCAACTCCTAGGCTCCAGGGATCCTTCTGCCTCAGCCTCCCAGGTAGCTGGGACTACAGGAATGCGCCACAAAGCCTGGCTGGGCTTCCCCCCCCCTCCCTTTCTTTTTGGTAGAGACAGGGATCTCACTCTTGCACAGGCTAGTCTCTAACTCCTGAGCTCAAGCAATCCTCCTCAGCCTCCCAGAGTGCTAGGATTTCAGGTGTGAGCCACCATGCATGGCCAAGGCACAGTAAAAATTCAGTATAAAAGATAAAATTGGTATACCTGTATAGGGCACTTACCATGATTGGAGCTTGTATGATTAGAAGTTGCTCTGAGTGAGTCCGTGAGAGTGGTGACTGAATGTGAAGGCCTAGGACATTACTGTACACTACTGTAAACTTTATAAACAATGTACACTTAAGCTAAATTTATTATAGATTTTTTTTTCAATAATAATTAACCTTAGCTTACTGTAACATTTTTACTTTATAAACTTTTAAATTTTAGCTTTTTGACTCTTCTAAGAACACTTAGCTTAAAATAAAACACATTGTACAAGCTGTATAAGAAATTCTTTATTCTATAAATGTTTTTCTATTTAAGGAACTTTTTTAAAATTAAAAACTGTTTTTTTGTTAAAAACTAAGACACAAAGACATTAGCCTAGAGGCCTACACCGAGTTAGGGTCATCAATATCACTGTCTTCGACCTCTGCATCTTGTCCCACTAGAAGTTCTTTAGGGGCAACGAGATACATAGAGCTATCACCTCCCATGATAACAATGCCTTCTTCTGGAATACCTGCTGAAAGCTGCCTGAGGCTGTTGTACATTTTTTTTAATAAGTTAACTTTTAAAAAAAAAATAAGTAGGAGTACACTCTAAAATAACAATAAAAAGCATAGTATAGTAAATACATAAACCAGTAACATAGTCATTTACTTTCATTATCAAGTATTATGTGCTGTACATAATTGTGCTATACATTTATATGACTGGCAGTGCAGTAGGTTTACGTTCAGTAGCTTCACACCAGCATCACCACAAACATGTGAGTAATGCATTGTGCTACAAAATTATGATTGCTATGACATCACTAGGTGATAGGAATTTTTAAGCTCCATTATAATGTTATGGGACCACCATTGTACATGTGGTCTGTCATTGACTAAAACGTCATTATGCGGTGCATGTATTAAAAGGCAAGAAAAGAAAAGCTGAAGTGGAAAAGATTCAGAGATAGAAGTAGTGCAGGATCCATCTTGCAGCCTGCTTTAGAGGAAACTTATCACTCTGTATCACTGGGAAACAACTAATTGAAAATGAAATCAATTATTTAAGCATTCATAAATTTGGATGTTGTAACTATCTTTGAAAATATTTTGATATGCTAAAAGATGATGGTGCAATGAAAGTTCAAAGAAACAGGTCATGCTTATAAAGTTTAAATGTTGTTTAGAAAATGATAGTCTCCCCAACTCTATTGAGGAGAGTTAAAGACTTATTGATGAGTAGAATTCCATCTGCCGGGAAGATTGTGTTGAACTTTTACTGTAGTTTGTATTTTATGAATTGATTGTTCAAAAAAATTTTTTTTTTTTTTTTTTGAGACAGAGTCTTACTTTGTTGCCCGGGCTAGAGTGCCATGGTATCAGCCTCACTCACAGCAACCTCAGACTCCTGGGCTCAGGTGATCCTTCTTCCTCAGCCTCCCAGGTAGCTGGGACTACAGGCATGCGCCACCATGCCCAGCTAATTTTTTCTGTATATTTTTATCTGTCCAATTAATTTCTTTCTATTTTTGGTAGATACGGGGTCTCGATCTTGCTCAGGCTGGTTTCGAACTCCTAACCTTGAGTGATCTGCCTGCCTCGGCCTTCCAGAGTGCTAGGATTACAGGCGTGAGCCACCGCTCCTGGCCTAAAATATTTTTCAAATATGAAATTATAATGTTGGATATGCCCTTTCAAATTATATATGCCTTTCTAGGGACTCTGGAAGGCAGCTATGCTCACCACTATACCACCATTGTCTTCCTAGAGACTTTGATATTCCCAGTCCTTTGTTGAGAATTTCTAATAAAGGAGCTTTGTCCATTTTGTAGTTTATAGTTCACATACTCTGTGGACAGTTAAAGCTACAGGGACTGTGGATTCATGTCGGTGAGTCCCCTTATTTACATGAGGAAACCGAGACTCTCAGAAGTCAAGTGGCTTGCTCAGGTCCCTCAGCTCATGAATACTCAGTTGGGCTGATAGTTGCTGTGTCCTGATTCCTATTCTAGGACTCTTTATTTCTAAGCTACTTTTATTGAAACAATCTATAAAGCAATTAGTTTTCTATTAAAATTATTGGTCTTATTTAGATTGTCTTCCTGAGGGCATGATTAGTCTTGGATAAACAGATATAATTTGGAGGTCTATATCATTATCAAACCTTGAATTCAAATGACCTCACCAAAGCTGGAGGCCTGGCTGAAGCAGTCAGACCTGTTAGATTCCTACACACTAGACAACTGTCATTTGTATGTGGGGAAAATAATTGTCTGTTTGGTTCCAAAGCCTATTTAATAAAGACTGGCAGTTTGTTTACAACTTTGGCTTCTGTAAGTTACTAGATTACTACTATCAAAAGTAGTGAATTTGTTCAATTGACTATATTACTACAAATTGGTAAATAAGGCCCTAAAATTTAAGTGACTAAAAGTTGAGATACCAGTGTACAGAGAAGAGATAATATATTCAACTAGTTATCTAACCCTCTGAAATTATCCTCAGTGGGGACAGCAGTACTCTTGTTTACTTATTGTTTTGGTTGTTATGAGGTGAGTGTCAAGCACAATTAGCATTGCTCTATTAGATAGAGTAATACACTGCTTCTCATTATGATGATGAATAGTAGTTAGCACTTACTAAGTGTTTTACTAGGTCCCAGACATAGTGCTAAGCCTGTCTTATATGTACTTTCACTTTTCTTCACAGTAGTCTTATGAAGTGGGTACTGGTGTCTCTTGACTTTAGGCCTGGAGCTTCTAGCTATTTCACTCTACTGCCTCCATAATCTACAGATATGGCCAAAGCGTGCTTTTACTTATGTGTATCTCATTGTTTGATTGCTGGAAATACAGATGGAAAGATTTAATTATCAGGATAGTTTTTCCTTTGTGCTTTTGTTTTGCCCTTAAAAGTTTTTTTTTTAACTACTACTTTTATTTCTGGGGAGGAAGGGACTCTGGTTTTCCCATCCTCCTCAAACCCATGAAGCTAGAGAGGGGCAAGGAGGTGGGTTTGGGAGTTTGAGAATACCCTACTTTATAAACATCTCGTGTTTGTTTCTGCCAGATACCCCAGTGTTATCACCAACCTGTGACTTTTTATGTTACTTTCTCCACTTAGAGATTTTGAATAGTGGGGATAGTGTAAGTATGATCCCAAATTGGAGTGAATCCCAAGCCTATATTACAGACTCCCAGAGAGAACTCCCCTCGACCTCACCACTCCCCTTCCACATGCACACCTGAGAGCCAGTCTAAAACATAAGCTTATTTCTCTGGCCAGTGATGAGAATTTTTCAGGTTTGAATTTTCACGGACGATACATCTCATGAAGAGGGCGTCCTGGCCTCATTTGAGACTCCCACTTCCAATACTCTGTGTTTTGGAGCCCCAAAGCCTTGGATCCTGTTCCCATTAAAATCAAATATATTCAGTTGCTGAAACTGACATCCTCTTCTCCAGCATTCTTCCACACACCCACAGATCAGGGCTGGTGTAGTATCTACTCATACACACTGCCTAGTCTATGGTTCCTCCTTCATATTGAAACCCTTGGAGTTTTACTTTATTCTCATGAAAGCAGTTATGCTTGCAGAAGGATGTTTATTTTACTTAGCATTTCTAGATGTTTTATTATAGTAGAGGGATATGCCAGAAACAAAAGACTCAGGCTACATTTTGTACTTGCCTCTCATTTCCTTCTCTTCCATATATTTAGAAATGAGGTCTTAAGATTATCCATGGAGTCAAGTCCTAGGGGCTGAAGCAGTAGTTCTTTTTCTAACCTCAGTCGCTTTCTAAGGTACAGCTGTCTATATTAAGAGTTTACATGGTGTCTTAGTTTTGCATTGCTATAAAGGAATACTAAAGTCTGGGTAATTTATAAAGAAAAGGTTTATTTGGCTCACAGTTCTGCAGGCTGTACAAGAAGCATGGCACCAGCATCTGCTTCTGGTGAGGGCTTCACAGAGGTTCCAATCAAGGTGGAAGGCAAAAGGGGAGCAGGAGTGTCACATGGCAAGAGAAGAAGCTGGAAGTGGGGGAATGCCTATTTTCTTTTAAACACCCAGCTCTCATGTGAACTAACAGAGGGAGAACTCATTATGTAGGGAGGGCACCAAGTCATTTATGAGGGATCCACCCCCATGACCCAAACATCTCCCACTTAGCCCTATCTCCCCAACATTGGAGATCAAATTTCAACGTCAGATTTGGAGGGGACAAACATCCAAACATGGGTACTTGTATATTATTGCTTTTCTATACACTTTTGTTTCTATTTTATCTTTGTGTATAACAGGTCAAGAACCTACCTTGAAGACTATATTAAATAAAACAGGAGATGACATCATTATAGTAAATGAACTTCTAAATAAATTGGAATTGGAAATTCAGTATCAAGAACAAATGAACAGTTCACTCAAGGTAATGTTTTCTAATGAAGACACAGTAAAAAGGCAATAAATACAAACTCCCTAATCAACAGGTAATTCTTAAGGATTCTTTGTTTATAATGTTATTAATTTTATAAATTATTAATAGTACAGAGTGCCATTTGTGTTTTATTTTGCTGGTATAAAGGTATTCAGAGCATCACAGCTATTTCTTTATGCTGACAGCCAATGGAGTTGAACTTTACTAAAAAGGAGTATTTTCTAAATAATTCTTGTTATAGTTAATTTAAACAAATGATGTCCTGGTAGAGTGTTATATAAAGCAGTGGCCTCCAACCTTTTTGGCACCAGGGACTGGTTTCATGGAAGATAGTTTTTCCATGTCCATGGCCTGGGGAGTTGGGGACCGCAGATATTAATATAAAGAATACCTGTCTTGGGCAAGGAGATGTGGATTCTCACCTTGGCTTTGTTCTTGGCACGCTCTGCCACCCTGAGAAAGTCTTTTTACCTTTGGGGTCTTAGGATCCTCATTTGAAAAATAAGGGATCATACTGGACAGTTTCTTAGCTCCCTTATATTTCTGCATTTCTATATTTTTATAAAATGTAATAGAAGGATTCACCAGAAAAGAAAAACTTGAGCCTCATTTACATGTACATTTTGTTCTAAATAAGACTTCTAATTGACTTCAGCTAATAAAAGTACTGTGTACTTCCTGATGGGTAAATACTCTACCTGTACCATAATTGCCTCGTGTTGTTAGAGACATTGAAGTGTTCAATGGGATTGAACAAGGGACCCGTAAGGTCCTGTTCAGCCTTTTATAATCCTTAATGTCTGCAAAGATTTTTCAGCTTAGGAATGGGCATGAGTATGCTTATCCTACTATTAGTCAAAATGAAAAACATCATTCATCTCTTCATAAAAAAGATGTCATACAAACTCAAAATGGAAACCAATATTGGTATTTCAATTCTAACCTGCTCAAGAATGTCCAGGGTTTGGCGTGGACTTAGAGAATATTTGTCTTAGAACTAAAGGCTGTTTGGAATTTCTATTCACGTTATGGTTGGGGGCTAGATAATGGGAATCCAAAGGTGCAGAATATATTTCTCATTACAATCTATATGTGTTCATAGCCTCAAGTTCTAGTGGAAGTTAAATAAAGACAAAAAACCCCAGTTATGATCAAGTAGAACTATTCTTTGAGCTGGAATATATGCAGGTCAACAATGGAAGTCATTCTAAGCAGCATCTCATGCTTGCCATCTGGGTGTGCATTATCCCTCTGATGCTGTCACACAGGTAACACTGGGGAACATTTGCTAAGTCAGCACAAGCAATTTAACAGAATGAAAAACATAAATTTTTCATATATTTCTTAGTTACTTCCCAAGATTAAAGTATTTGGGAGAGACATAACTTCAACCCTGCTTTGTAACTGTAATGTGATTATAGTGATTGTTCTCTGAAAAGATCTAGTAGAGAAAATATTATACCACCATCCAAAAATACCTCTAGAAAACCAAAGAGCTCTTTTTTCTATATTGCTACATTCAGTGCTTTTTCACTTCATTCTTCATTCTTAACACTCACAGTCACTGTGATTATGGTTCACAGTCTTTCCTGCTCTTAGAATGTCTTAAAACACACACAGGGAGGAAAAAGGCTTATTTGTGAGTGTTTTTCTTAAATTTTAGGAACTCTGTGAGTCTCTTGAAGAAGATTACAAAGATGTGGAACATCTGGAAGAAAACATTCCCTCCCATTTGCCTCCAGTAACAGTAACCCAAAGCTCGTAAGTATATTTATAATTATTCTCGCTAAATCTGGATTTATAAAACCCATGCAAACAAATACTTCAAAGCTTTTTGTTCTTTCATGTACTTACAATTTTGTCAGTGATTATCCAATTTTTTGTCACATACTCTGGAAACAATATTTCCCCTTATCTTCCCCAGTTTTCTTGTCCTACTGTCTCTGAGGAAGATGTTACCTCTTTTTCCCCAAGGGAAAGTCTCACTATCCTCTCTTGTTCCACTCGTTTCTTCCCTGGTTTGTCAGCCTCAGCTTCATTGACATTTTAGGCTCACAACAATTCTTTCTCACAACAATTCTTTGTTGTGAGAAAAGGAGATTTAGTGGCATTCTTGATCTCTGCCCAATAAATACTAATAGCATCCTTCCTCCCCCACCCAGCTGTGACAATGAAAAATGTCTACAGACATTGCCAAATGCCCTCCAGGGGAAAAAATCTCCCCTGACCCTGGAGAACCACTGCATTAGGATGAAAATAATTTAATGAACTTCTTTCCCATCTTAAAAATAGCCAAAGGAGCAATAAATGTACCTCTTTTTCCCCTCAAACTTCCATCTTCTCTCTCTGTCATTCACTGGCAATATATGTTGGTGCTTTGCCTTTCTCCCAGAGGCCCTAACCCTTGGCTGTTGGCTGTCATTACATCACACTTATGAAATTGATTGCTTGAAGATCACAGAGAGGTCAAAAATCCTTTTTCAGCCCTGATTCTACTTTTTAGAGTTCATCTTGTTTACCACCTTTTGTTTTTGAAATTTTCTTTTCTGCACTGCCACTGCGCTTTCTTAGTTGTCATCCCACATCTCTGACTTGGCTGCTTCCTTTTCTTCTGCCCCCCTTTAAATTATAGGCATCTCCTAAAACTATTTTATCCATGCTTACCTAACCCCACTGTTAATGCCCTCGCATGTCCAACTCCAGCCCTGACATGACATCTAGTTCTGGCGATGTAATGGCTGTTGGGAATCTGACGAGTGAGTTATTTTCTCTTCAAACTGTGCATTTCTAAGACCTGGCTCTCTTACCACCCATCCATCCAACCACTGCTCCCCTCCTCCATTCACCCAGACACTCTCTCTTAGCCATCACCTGTCATTGGACATCAGCAGGAATATGGCCAGAGGAATAAGAGGAATTTTCTTCTTCAAAACTCTCTATGGCCTAGCTTTAGCTCTCGGGGATAGGTCAAAGCAGAACCTTTCTGTAGGTTGAAATGGTAATTTTCAACTGACATATACAGCAGGGCATGATGGAGAAATGAGCTGCTTCTTCAGCACAGGGTCAAGAGAAGCAAGTACAGGTGAGATTCAGCCAGTCTCTCAGTGGAGTCTCAAGTTAGGATTCATGTAAGAATGCTGGCATGATAGCACTGGGCATCTTACCTTGTTTTTCCTTATTTTTTAAAAAATTGTATATATTCGTGGGGTGCAAGTGCAATTTTGCTACATCGATATATTGCATTGTAGTGAAGTCAGGGCCGTTACAGCACCCACCACCGGAGCAACGGCATTGTACCCAGCAGCAGCTTCCCATCACCCACCCTCTCCTTCCCATCATTCCATACTCTGCTTTCGTGAGTACACATTATTCAGCTCCCGCTTATAAGTGAGCTGTAAGACATTTGTGTCTTTCTGTGTCTGTCTTGTTTCACTTAAGATAACGGCTTCCAGTTCCATCCATGCTGCTGTAAAACACATGGTTTCATTCTTTCTTATGGCTGAATAGTATTCTATCATATACATAGACCACATTTTCTTTCCAGGTTCAGAACTAGTGGAGTCAGGAAAAGCTGTTTAGAGGTTAAGTTCAACTTATACATACTGACTTTAAGGAGCTGGGGGGACAGCTGCTGAAGATGTTTAGCATGTATACAACAAATACCATGTTTTGCGAGTGTAAATAAATACAGCTATATTACCAAAGATTTGGGGCTAATTTTTCAACATTCCCTTCACTATTTAGATTTTCATGAACAGTAGGGGTAGGGATAGAAACAAATGTTGGCAATAAAATTATTATTATTACAGGATGAATCGTGTATTTAATATTGGTTATTTTCAGTTGGGAAAACTTTCCAGTATGCTGTGTAATTCTGACAATTATTGATATGTATATCTATTCTGTAGTGTGAAGGGGTCAGATCTTGACTCTGAAGAACCACTCAAAGTTGTGGAACCTGCACCCACAAAGAAGCCCCCAAAAGAACAAAGAAGTATTAAAGAAATACCATTTATCACTTGTGATGAGTTTAATGGTATTCCTGCGTAAGTATTTAAGAAAAATTTTAATGGTCAACTCTTTAATAATCAACATAGACTCCCTGATGGTCTAGTGGCTAGAATTTAATAATCAACATACATGATTGTTTAAATCATAAAGCTTGATTATATTAATTTGAATATGCTGTTTGAATATTGACCTTTTCTAAAATAGTTTTATACTATGAAAATGTAAAAAATTTTTGAAGATGCTTAAAATCATGTTTTTTGTTTCATTGCAAAACTTCATTTCATAGAGAGATCTAGAGATGGATCAATTTGTTGCTTAGGTCTTCTCCAGGACCATTTTATTGTGGTTTTCTTTGTCCATTGTCTTGTCCTTCTCCTCCTCCTTTTTTCTTCCCTCTTTCGTTCTCTGAATGGATAGTAGTTTTCGCATACCACTAGAGTGCTATGAGTTGGTATACTTTAATGTTAAAATTTTTTCAAGGCTGTGGAAACAGCCCAAGTGTCCATCAATTCAAGAATGGATTAATAAAATGTGGTATATGTATACCATGGAGTACTATTCAGCTCTAAGAAACAATGGTGACATAGCACATCTTAGAGCTGGAACCCATACTATTAAGTGAAGTTTCCCAAGAATGGAAAAACAAGCACCACATATACTCACCAGCAAATTGGTATTAACTGAACAGCACCTAAGTGGTCACATAGGTACTACAGTAATAGAGTATTGGGCAGGTGGGGGGGGGCAGGTATATACATACATAATGAGTGAGATGTGCACCATCTGGGGGATGGTCATGATGGAGACTCAGACTTGTGGGAGGAGGGGGGAAAATGGGCATTTATTGAAACCTTAAAATCTGTACTCCCATAATATGCCGAAATAAAAAAAAAAAATTTTTTTTCTCCTTTGCTCACAAACGTTTAAAAATGTTTAAACTTATAATCAGTCTATTTGAATCAGATTTTGAGAGCTTTTATTTTAAATTGTAATGTTAAGTCTCCATAGGTAGAGAATGGAGATTAATGTATCCAAACATAATTAGAGACAATAAACACTGATGTGTTGTCATCTCTGTTTAATTTTTCAACTCTTGAGATGTGTCTGGTTTATTTGGAAGTTAACATAAAGTTTTTTTAAGAAAGGGTACTATTGTTTTGCTACTATACAAAGTCATCATACTTATATTTTTCAAGGAAAGTAATTTTATATGATGATTATTTTAAAAAATAATTAACCATATGCTTTTTTACAGGTACATGAAATCTCGTTTAACCTATTGTAAAATTAATGAAGTTATTGAAGAAATCAACAAGGCAGTAATTAGTAAATATAAGATTCTACATCAACCAAAAAAGTCTATGAATTCTGTGGCCAGAAATCTCTATCATAGATTTATTGATCAAGAAACGAAAGATACCAAAGGTAAAATGGGAGCATATATATATGTACATGTGAACTATTTGGAGTATAAACTAAATCATGGGAAACACAGCTAATTCTAGAAAATTCTAAATCTAGAATTCCCAACCAGTGGCAATTTTCCCACCAGGGGACATTTTGCCATGTCTGGAGACATTTTTGGTTATTATAATTGGGGTAGGGGAAGATCCTGGCATCTAGTGGTTAGAGGCCAAGGATGCTAAAACAGCCTACATTGCACAGGGCAGCACCCACAAAATGAACTAGTTGGCCCACGGTGTCTGTAGGTCTGAGCCTGAGAAACATTGCTTTAGAGTCTATTATGGAACTATACCCAGTGTTTTGAGAAATTAGAATAGTAATGATAACTATTAGCCATGCTTATATAGTGCTTACTGTGTGCCAGATAGTGTGCTAATAACTTTAGTCCTTATAACATCCTTACCACCTGGAATCCATTAATATCCCATTTTGCAGACTAGGCAAAGAATGCTTACTTGCCCAAGGTCATCTAGTTAAGTGATAGCGTTGCTACAGGTGTCATTGTATTAATCACTACACCATACTGCCTCTTGAAAAGTGAATTGTTCTAGAGATACCAATTCTGAAATGCTACAGTAAGTATGCAACTTCAATTGGTAGAATAATTATTGTTTTAGGAAGAATAACTGTTCTTGCTTTTATTAGATAATGACAGTAAAAATGATTAATGCCATTCATATTCACAATTTAATGCATTAAAGACTCATCTTGAAAGTTGGCCTTATAAAAGTTAGCACTAATATCTTTTATTTTCAGGTCATTATTTTATAGTGGAAGCTGACATAAAGGAGTTCACGACTTTGAAAGTTGACAAGAAGTTTCACATGTTACTGAATATCTTACGACACTGCCGGAGGCTATCAGAGGTCCGAGGGGGAGGACTTACCCGTTATGTTATAACCTGAGGCCCTTGTGAGCTTTTGAACAGACCAACAGTGAGGTTATAGAGGCTGTTTCTAAGGTTTTCTTATATATAATTTGTTTAGCTTTTTCATTTTCTATTTTTGTTTCTTTTTTGAATAAAGCTTATATATTTTCAAGATTCACTTCCTTTCAGCAAATATTTAGCAACCTGACATATAAGCCTCTGTACTAGGCATATAATCAAACTAAAAAATGCTCATATCTATTTTTTGTGTTTAGTGGACAATGATACAGACCCCAATAAGACAGGTACAGATGTGATACTGGAAGGGAGAAGTCAAGAAGATATGGTCAAAGATACACAGGCCCTTGGAATTAAAGGTGACTAGGGTCTAGATTCCATAGATAGCATTTCTGTGTATAAGGCATGGTAGATTAACTCAGTGTCCAGCCCGTCTCCCATCTGTGTCATCATAGCAAGTTTTCAAACCTGAGGAGGGAGTTGTGGGAACCCCCATTTGTATCCAAGTTGGACAGAAATGTGAGTATCCTGGGTACCTACTCATGATTGGTGTTTGAAGTGGGATGCAGCCTTGTGAGACTGAACCCTTAATCTGTGGGGTCTGTACTAACTCCAGGTAGTTAGTGTCATCATTTTGTTGGCTACCCAGTTGGTGTCCAGAGAGTTGGAGAATTGGTTGGTATGGGGGAAAAAAACCTCACATGTTTAGTGTCAGAAGTATTATATGAATGTAGTACAGAAGAAAACAGAGCTTTTCCTTTTTAGATAAAAAAGATGATGCAGGCTGGGCGCGGTGGCTCACGCCTGTAATCCTAGCACTCTGGGAGGCCGAGGCGGGTGGATTGCTCGAGGTCAGGAGTTCGAAACCAGCCTGAGCCTGAGCGAGACCCCGTCTCTACTATAAAGAAATTAATTGGCCAACTAATATATATATAGAAAAAAAATTAGCCGGGCATGGTGGCGCATGCCTGTAGTCCCAGCTACTCAGGAGGCTGAGGCAGGAGGATTGCCTGAGCCCAGGAGATTGAGGTTGCTGTGAGCTAGGATGCCACGGCACTCACTCTAGCCTGGGCAACAAAAGCGAGACTCTGTCTCAAAAAAAAAAAAAAAAAAGATGATGCAGTAACGTGTGTGGGCAGGTTGATAGTAGTCATGAAAAATGGGTTATTGGATTGTAAAACCTTAGCCATGTTTCTCTTCTGCAGCTGGGGAAACTGTTCTATCTATGTCTGCCATCTGTTTGGCATGCTTGTCCCTGTAGCAGAGAATAAAAGTGTCTCACCAGACCCTGTGGCCTGGTTAACACCACCACTGTGATGACCACATAGTACCTTAGAGGCACTGCATATTTACTGTTATCCTTTTTTCTCCTTAATTTAATTGCAGGGTGTTTAATTTTTTATGCCTCAAATAAAAATAATTGCATTATCCTTTATTTTGTCTTAAGCCTTACTTGATTTTTCTCTTTGTAAAATTTTTCCCTGTGAGAAAGTTTTCTCTGTTTAAAATATTCCTTTCTGAAACTAGCATCAGTTTTGTGAGTAAGTTTGCTTCGTTTTCGTAAGAATGGATACTGAGGTGAATAGTTAGTCTCTATTTTGTTAGCACATAATCAACTTGTTACATTAATCTAGGTGTGCAGTTGATATAGTTGTATTCCTCAAAGAATAATGAACACATTAAGTTTCAAACAAGAATGAATTTCTGTTACTTGAGCTTCTTTTTCAAGCAAAATGACTGGCTTGTTCTATTTAGTTATTTTTTTTTTTAAATAATATTTTTAAAATTCTGAAAGAAAGTTATGGTCTTGCGTCTCTTTGCCCTTTGTGCTTAGGTCCATCCCTTGCCCTTTCTGTGCTTTCCCTCCTCTCCTGGGCACACCCCAGCCAGGGCCCCACTGGACTGTCAGGGGCTGAGACCCCTCCTCTGTAGGCCCTGGGCAGGAGTGGGGCTGCCTGTGGGCACGCAGACCTCCTCAGCCTGCTGTCTGTGTTGGTTATTGAGATACTTATTTTTATGTGATAAAATCTTCAATCTGTTCCTTTATATAATGGGTTCTATTTTTTTCAAAATTGGTTATTTGTACATAAAACATTTTTTTCTTCAGGTAATGCAGGCTAGTTCAAAATGATCATGAGCAATCACCATCTCTTTCTTGCTTTACCCCTGCCAAGTATACTCTGTCCTCTTGTACGTTTCCTGAGGTGTAGGTGTCCCCTCAGATGCTTTTGGCCTCATCTGTACCTCAGACCCTGGGCCACTTGCTCATGGAGAGCCCTGACTGGCCCTGCCACAGGCACCAGCACTGGCTGTCTTCTCCCCCGGTGAGTGCCAGGTTGTGGCCTCAATGACACATTCTATAGTGGTAACTTCTGCAGTGCCTGTTCCCAGACCTGACCCAGTGGGAGGTTCTGGCTCCTCCTTCCAGGCTCAGATGAAGCACCTGGCCACACGTGTGGACTTTGGCTACCCCAGCAGCTGCGTGAAGGGGCCAGGTGATAATCCAGACGTGTGGGGGAGTTTACCTACCTGTGGAATGGACTTTTCTCAGAGAGAGAGGAGGTCCAGCTGGCAAATAAATTCTTGGCTCTCCCTCCTTCTGAGGGACTGTTCCAAGGCAGTTTGCTAATCTGCCTGTCTGAGGACGTCCTGTGTGGCTGAGTGATCAGCTGTGTCTCTCCATGCCTTGTGAAGCAGCGGCCGGTGTAGGTGCATCGTCACTTTATATTTGCTTCCCACCTTACCCTGTCGTTTCTCTCTTCCCTCACTTGCTGCTCTGGGCAGGTAACTTTCTAGCAGAGCATTAGCGCTGAAACCTTACCTCTGGGGAACTTGAACTAAAATAAAGCTGGCAAACCTCTAGCTTGGCATTTCCCAAAATGCATGTCTTGAGTGCTAGTGCCTCTCAATATAGTAGATGGTTTTAAAAAGGTTTCTGTGATTAAAGGAGTTTGAGACATGCTCAGTTAAGTACAGTTAAGTAGATTTTTTTATTGCATGACTTCTAAGGGCCTTCACTGAACCCATTTAATTTATAAATCTCCAGCAGAGACAGACTAGAGTGGAGCACATTATTTTCATTACTTTAACTGTTTTCGAGAAACACATATTAATATCTCTGGACATACTAATGGTTCATGAAATGCATTTTGGGGACCTTGACATAAAACAAGCTGTTTGGAAACCATGCTCATTTTTATAACTGAAGCTTCATTACCACAAGCTATTAGTAAATGTATGTAAAAAAAAACCACCATTTTTTGAAGCAGTGTAATAGACTTAGGGGTAAGAACACCGACCAGAGTTCAAATCCTGCACTCGCTGCTGACAAGCAGGGATTTCTCCCTTTTGCTTTGCATTGGATTGGTATCCTTGGCAGGCGGTATCTCCTCTGTGGCTCTAACTACTGCCAACTAGTTCTCTTTTTGTGGTTCCAGTTCCCACTGGGCAGCCCCAGCTATAGTTCTTGCTTTATCTGGCAAATAGCTACTGGTAATACCACATTCTCCCATAGTCCCTTCACACTTAGTTGTGGTAGTAGTTTCTTGCTATTGCTAACCAGTTAATCACTTCACTATCCTTTGACTCACTTCTTGCTCTTACATCACCTGTGTATCTAATTCCTAGTATTAAATTCCCCCTAATGAAATACCTAGAATGGTAACTGTTTCCTTACTAGAACCTGATTCCCACTGGCCAAATTAGGAACAACTTAAACATAACTAATGACTAATTGACTAAGTGCAAACAAATTGCCAGTATTGGTGGACTCTCCTACACCAACTTCTTTCTCTGAACATTGGTAATTAATGTAAAAGAGTTGTCTTACCTTTTCAGGAGAAATCATATTTCAGGATAACCAAATAACCCAAGTTGGTAATGGAAACATTTCTCCATAGAAGGAGGCCAGCTAAATATATCAAATAAATGGTAGAATTAGGAAATCACTTTTTTGTAACTTTTAATGAAATAATTGATTTAGGTAAGGATCATCACTGGATGCTAAAATCATTAGGTGAAATGTTAGTAGGAAACCCTGCCTTTACTTGCTAGTCACTAGGGATATATATAGGTAAGTAAATGAGATCTGGCTGTCACCACTTGGGGCAGATTGCATTTTCCAAAGATGGATGGATGGATGGGAGAATTCCATATCCCATCTCATATGCTCTTCCAATGTGATATGAACACTCCTTCTTCAAGAGGTGGGATCTTTGTTCCCTCTCTTTGAGTCTGGGTATGTCTTTGTAACTGCTTCAACCTATAGAATGGAGAGAAAGCGATGCTTCATGACTTCCAAAGCTTGCTCATGAGAGACAATATGGCTTCCATCTGGCTCTCTTTCTGTCTTGTGATGCTTGCCTTAGAACCCTGTCACCATGTTGTGAGGAAGCCTAGCCACGTGGAGAGGCCATGTTAACTGCTGTTACTACCAGCCATGTGAGCAAGTGAGCCTTCAGGTGACTCCAGACCTCAGCCTGCACTCAAGTTTTCTTGCTGAAGTCCCAGACATCAAAGAAGCAAAGATAGCTGTTCCTCCTAAGGCTCTGTCTGAATTTAGGACTTAACAGAAATCATGAAAAATATTAAATGATTATGGTGGTTTAAAGTCGCTTAAGTTTTTGCATAATTTGTTATACAAGAGATAATGAATACACTACTCAAACTTATCACCAGTAATGGAACATCCTGACATTATGTACTTTTTTTTAAATTTCAGCATATTATGGGGGTACAAATGTTTAGGTTACATATATTGCCCTTGCCCCCTCCCTCCACTGAGTCAGAGCTTCAAGTGTGTCCATCCCCCAATGGTGCGCATTGCACTCATTATATATGTATATACCTGTCCCCTTCTCCCCCCTCCCATCTGCCCGATGCCCAATGAATGTTATTCTTATATGGACACTTAGGTGTTGATCAGTGAAACCAGTTTGATGGTGAGTACATGTGGTAATTATGCACTTCTTAAATGTGATATGACAATACTGCCTATGAAATATTATTGCTAAAAAACATTAAACCTGAATCTAATTAGGGCTTTAGAAGTATCATCTAATTTATAGGAAACACAAGGAAAAGAGAAACAAGCTAGATGTTACCATGAAGAAACAATCAGGGCCAGTCGTGGTGGCTCACACCTATAATCCTAGCACTCTGGGAGGCCGAGGCGGGCGGATTGCTCGAGGTCAAGAGTTCGAAACCAGCCTGAGCAAGAGCTAGACCCCCGTCTCTACTATAAATAGAAATTAATTGGCCAACTAATATATATATAGAAAAAATTAGCCGGGCATGGTGGTGCATGCCTGTAGTCCCAGCTACTCGGGAGGCTGAGGCAGAAGGATTGCTTGAGCCCAAGAGTTTGAGGTTGCTGTGAGCTAGGCTGACGCCACGGCACTCACTCTAGCCTGGGCAACAAAGCGAGACTCTGTCTCAAAAAAAGAAACAATCAGACAAATCTGGATATAACGTAATAGCCTGGTCTCTTAAAAACAAGTCAATGTAATAGAAAAAACAAGAATCATGTGTGAGATTAAAAGATATTTAGGAGTATAACCCAATATAAATCATGAACCTTGATTGGATTCAGTTTTTTTTTTTTTAATTTTTTTTTATTTTGGCATATTATGGGGGTACAGATTTTAAGGTTTCAATAAATGCCCATTTCCCCCCCTCCCCCCAAAAGTCTGAGTCTCCATCATGACCATCCCCCAGATGGTGCACATCTCACTCGTTATGTTTGTATATACCCGCTGGATTCAGTTTTGAAAAAAAGAGAC